ATAAGGAAGGGGTAGAAATGGTGTGTATACAAGAGACGAAATTAACTAGACAGGATGAGAGTGTATGCTATAAAATATGGAACCACAATAATATCCAATGGGCTTTCAAACAGACAGAAAATGGGTCAGGAGGGATTCTAAGCACATGGGATACAAATAAGTTCGAGTGCGTAAACATGATTATAGGAGAAGGATTAATAGCAGTAGCGGGTATCTATAAGAAAAAGAATATAAAACTGACAGTGGTAAATGTTTACTCCTCTCGCGTAGTGAAGGAAAAATACAAGTTGTGGGAAGACATACATAGGAGCGTCCAAAATCTGTCGTGTAAGGTGTTTTGTGTAATAGGAGATTTCAACACCGTCAAATTACTTGAAGAGAGAAAAGGAAGTAGTATAAGAGGCAGAGTAACAGAAGAAATGTGAAGATTTAATGATTTTATTCAGAACCTAGAGGCTCGGGAACTACCGTCTATTGGAAGAAAATTTACATGGTATAGAACTGACGGTTCTTCAATGAGTAGGTTGGATAGAACCCTGGTATCTATGGAGTGGATCCATGAATGGAAAGGGAGCAAACAGTATGTACTGGATAGAAGCATCTCAGATCACTGTGCACTAGTAATAAAAGAAAATAATATAGATTAGGGACCCAAACCCTTTAGATCTTTGGATGTATGGCAAGAAGAAAAGAGGTTTAGGGAGGAGGTAAAAGGGGCTTGGGAAGGAATGGAATCCATAGGCGGGGGAATTAAAAGCTGGGCCAAGAAGATTCAAATGCTTAAAAATCATGTGAAAAGATGGAATAGAGAATCGTTCGGGGACTTGAATTTGGCAAAACAAAGCTTGATAAACAAGATAAGTGAGTTGGACCATAAAGATGAAATAGATCAGTTGGATGAAGAAGGTAAGAAGGAAAGATGGTTATACCAAATAGAATTGAGAAAAATAATGTTAAAGAGTGCATCTATGGAGAAACAGAAGATAAGAGACAAGTGGATAAAGGAAGGGGATATAAACTAAAAAATTTTCCACTCTTTGATTAGTTGGAAAAGAAGTAAGGTGGAACTACCAGGGATGATGATTAGAAGGGTTTGGTGTCAGGACTCGGTAAGAGTAAAAGATGAGGTTATGGAACATTTTAAAAGAAGATTCAACCGAGAAACAAGTTTGGGAGTCAAATTAGAAGGGATCTCGTTTGAAGGAATAACAGAGGTACAAAATGAGGCTCTGGTTAGAGAAATATCAAAGGAAGAGATAAGGGAGGCAGTTTGGAGTTGTGAAGGCAGTAAAAGTCCTGGACCTGATGGATTTAATTTCTGCTTTATAAAACATAACTGGTCAACACTGAAGGCGGACATTTTAAAAGCTGTTGAAGAATTTCAGAGGGAGGGTAAAATTCCAAAAGGATGTAATGCCTCGTTCATTTCACTAATCCCAAAAGTAGAAATCCCGGTGGACTTGGATGACTATAGACCAATATCTCTGATAGGCAGCCTGTATAAGATACTAGCAAAGGTGTTAGCAGGGCGACTGAAAGGCGTGCTAAATAAGATAATTGGTGAATCTCAGTCTGCTTTCCTAGAAGGGAGGGGTCTCTTGGATAGTGTTGTGGTAGCAAATGAAGTCATTCATGAGTATAAGAGCAAACGGAAAAAAGGTTTGGTACTCAAGATAGACTATGAAAAAGCCTATGACTCTGTCGATTGGGAATTTCTCTTCTATATGTTAGAGAAACTAGGGTTCTGCAGGAAATGGGTGAGGTGGATTAAAGGTTGTTTAAAATCTGCCTCCATATCAGTTCTGGTGAATGGCAGCCCAACAAAAGAGTTTCTCCCCCAAAAAGGATTAAGACAGGGAGACCCTTTGGCCCCGTTCCTTTTCTTAGTGGTAGTTGAAGGGCTAGCTGGGGTGGTTAGGCAAGCAGTAGCAAAAGGGATGCTACAAGGAGCCAGGGTGGGGGGAAAGGAGCTTCAGGTCAGTCTTCTACAATTTGCAGACGACACTCTGTTCTTCAGCGATACAAATCCAAATAACATCACGGTAATTAAGGCGATTTTGAGATGCTTCCAGTTAGCATCGGGATTGAAGGTTAATATGAGAAAGACAAAATTAGGAGGAATAGGGGTGGGGCCTGTTTTACTGGAAAGCTTTGCACGAGAATTAGGATGTAAGACAATGTTATTGTCATTTAGATATCTGGGGTTGAAAGTTGGAGGGAACCACAAAAGGCATGAGTTTTGGGACGATGTCATAAGTAAAGTAAAGAAAAGATTCTCTAGGTGGAAAGGGTGTATGCTCTCCTTTGCTGGGAGGGTATGTTTGGTGAAATCGGTTCTTTCGACAATACCACTGTTTTATGTGTCCATGTTCAAAATGCCTGTTAGAGTGATAAAAGAGATAACAAAACTTCAAAGGGAGTTTGTGTGGGGATGGGGCAAGGAAGGGAAAAAGATAGCGTGGGTAAAATGGCAAAAAATGTGTAGAAGAAAGGAAGAGGGTGGGTTGAGGGTGAAAAACATTCAGAAGATGAACAGGTCCTTACTTGCAAAATGGAAATGGAGGTTAGGTGTCGAGTCAAAAGGATTATGGAAGGAAGTAATAGAAGCCAAATACGGGTCCTGGAGAGCATTAGACGAACCGAAAAACATTAATAAGGATTCAAAATGGTGGCTAGATATAAAAAGAATATGTAAAGATAATGTCGGTAGAGCTTGGTTTGATAAACATGTAACATGGAAAATAGGAAATGGGGAGAAAATCAGGTTTTTGGACGATGTGTGGATTGGGGAACAGAGTTTAGGTCGCTTGTATCCAAGGTTAAAACAAATAGGACTGAACAAAAACGGGATGCTATCAGAACATGGTGTGTGGGTGGAAAATAGATGGGAATGGAGAGTAAGCTGGAGAAGACAACGTTTTGAATGGGAGAAGGAAATGGAGGAGGAAATGCTAAGTAAGATTCAGGGCGTAACACTTAATAGGGTTACAGATGATACGTGGTTGTGGGGACCAAATAAAAATGAAAGGTATATTGTAAAAGAAGCATATGAGACTCTAAACGAAGAAACTTGCAATGAAAACGAATCGATTTTTAAATGGTACTGGAAAATTAAAGCGATACCAAAGGCCATGGTTTTAGGGTGGAGAATTCTTCAGGATATGATCCCTACAAAGGTAAATTTAGCTTGGAGAAGGGTTGATATAGGTAACCCAAAATGCGCATTGTGTGGGAGTGAGGACGAAACATCCAATCATCTCTTTTTTACGTGCAAGATGACCAGGGAGATCTGGGAAAAGTGCTTTAGATGGGTGGGTATAAGCTTTGTTAGCCATTGTGAGGCGAAAGCAAGCCTGGAAAGCTTTGCATTAGGTGGATTGGGAGCGAAGGGAAACATGTTGTGGAAAAGACTATGGGTAGCTGTGGTATATGAAATATGGTCTCAAAGGAATAAATGTATTTTTAAAAATGGTAAATTTGATGCAGAAGTAGGATTTAGTAAAGCGAGTGCAAATTTCACTGCTTGGTGCGCTAGAGACTGAGATGGAGCGAGCCTAGCAAGTTCCGATTGGTTCTATGAACCGGTAAGATGTATGAGACTAATTGCCATTTAGCTTCTCTTTTGTCTGTATTGGCTGGTATATGTCTTTTCAGGTTAAAGTGTGTAATCATGCCACAATGATGAAGATTCATATAAGAAGACGGTGAGCGAGAGTTTCCAAGAGCTTCAAGGCTTTTTTTCTTAACCTTGATGTAAACTGTCTTAGTGTTAACATTTTACCCGAAGCTAGTTTCCGTTAGACACCACTGGGGTAACTAAACTTGTATCTTTGAGCTTTCGTTCTTGTGACCCAGCAGGGTGTATTTTTTTTCGTTCTTCTAGCTTCTTTTAGTTGTATTTGGGTTGAAGTACTCATTTGTACTTCTATTAATTTTATTCTCTGTTGTCGATCAAAAAAAAAAAAATGACACGATCAAAAGTAAAAACTAAAGGGTAAAAAGAAAGAAAATAAACGGTGAAATGGAGAAATAAAACAAAAATATTGGCTTTTCAATATTATTTTTTTCACTTACCATAACTATTTCTTTGTGTGAGAGTAATAGAATGAAAGTTGGAAAAGATGGTTGAAGAAAAAGAAAAGGAGAAGGATTTATATATTGGTTGTAATTATCATAATTACTTAATTATTAGTAACATATGTGCATTAATTTAAAACAAATTTAATTACCTTGATTAATATTTAATATGTAAAAGTGGTAAGTTTGTTGCTACAAAAAACTCATACTTACTTTAATTCAAATAAAACTTAGATTAATAAAAAATACCTTGAATAATATATTTACGTATTTTATGTATTAAAAATAAATAAATAGTTCAACTAATTCTTTTAGCGGAGAAAAAGTGAATGCAGTGTTGCTTTATCTATTTACCCTCTCTTGTATCAGATTTTGTTCAAAGTTCTCTTGTTACAATGGTGAATTGCATTCTCTACTCTACTTATACAAATCTTATTCATTCGAGAAAATTTCTTCTATAAATGAATTTGTTAGATTTTATTGTGATCAATTGGAATATACTTAATTTAATTACATGATGTGAATAATTTTCACATTCTTTAATAACTAATAATAATCACAATTTTACGTGTCACATTAAATTTGACCCATACAAAAAAAGACTAATATATTCTATTAATTAGATGAAGTCCTATCATTAAGGTACAAAACCTTAAGTTCATACACGTGGTGATTATCACGTATAAGCCAACCTTTATCGTTTCAATTTCCTTCTTCCATGAAATGCACCTTAAGAAGAGGAACTAAAATCAAAGAGATTCTGAAAAATGGTTTCGTTTGATATATCATATCATAATAATCATATTATTATAATAGTAATAATAATAATAATAATAATAAAAATAGTAATAATAAGCAACCTACTATACGTATCATTGTTATCTTTATGATCATGTGAAGTAACAGAGGGAATTGATAAAGTTTTAAATGCCTCCAAAGTCCCTAACGGAGAACGGAGTTTTCTCCGGCATGTTCCCGGCGTGACGTAGCCCTAGTGTCAGTGACACGTCACCAGCGGTGGTCCCAAACCTAATCAGTGTCGAACCAATGTCAGAAGCACCAGAACCGGTCCCAAACTCCGTCGCAACAAGGGTACCGTGCCGGCACGATTCGTCGGCCACCATCGAGCGGGAGAGCTCGGAGGGAGGCGCCACCTCAGAGGCGGTGGCGGTGGTGGCGGAGTTAGGTTGTGTTTCCGAGAAGGCTCCCTGTGGCCTGTTGTTATTTATTGGGGCGAGTGAAGTGTCGCTTTCGGTGTCGGATCTTTTGGCGGTTGGTGGTGTCGTCGCTGTCGATGTTGTTGGTGGCGGTGGTGGCGCTGTTGCTGTCGATGCTGTGGTGGAGGGCGTTGGGGTTTGTGCCAGCTGGTGGCCACTGTTGTTGCTGCTGCTTTGATTCCTCTCTCTCTCCTCTTCTGCCCCTTCAGCTTCCTTGAGTTCTTGTTGGTACATGTCTTCCACCATGGGTTTCCACAATCTAACCCTCGCATTAATGAACCAGTTTGATACCTGCAAGCGTGACACATGTTAATAACTATGCAGTGTATGCATGTATACTCACATGGCATGCCTTTGCTAAATTGTCATTTTCTGATGGATGAAAAGGAAAGCATCTGTTTTCAAAAAATTATACATTGTATTTATACCCACTAACACTAATTAAATTGTTAAATAACTAGTTGTCCTTAACAAATACCAATAAGATGCAACATATTATAGTTTTTGTAACTGGTTTATTTTCTTGTTTAATTGACAGTGAAATTTTTTACTATTGATATAAATACCATGTAACATGTAGTGCAGAAAGAACTAACAATGTATTAAAATGAGAAGAAAGTTCCGGCATGCATATACACACTCATTAGAATATATAAATATATATATACATGAGCCTTGACACACTTGGGCACGATATATATAGCATGGACAACCCCAACTATGCATATGATATTGATCAAGATAAGTTTTATATTTCTACAAGTGTTGATATATATAAAGAGAGAGTCTTCCTTTTCAAAATTTTGAGCATAAATCGTTAGATAGAATAAAGAAATAAAGAGAGAGAGAGAATGAAAATAAAAGTTAAATATATAATACCCAGTTTAATCATTAAAACTTAGCGGTTCTAGGAAAACAGAAAAAGGAAACAAAAAAGATTGCTTTCTGACTCATTACCGTTTGTCCCTCCATCACAAATCGTGATTAGGCCATGAAATATCATCTCTGTGGTGTGACATATAGGACAGCGAAATGACATATGTGAATGATAATGCAATTATATGTAGTATATAGACTCTAAGATGGTGTAGGCATGCATGAAACAGTATACTACACCATATTTTACTTTCCCCCCTAATTAGATGTGTGCTAAATTGTAGCAGTGGCTTTTTCCTTTGGATTTTGGTTGTTCAGGGAAAATACAAGGTACACTGTTAATGCAGAATTGCAGATGTACAAAATTCATTAAGAAAATATACAGGAAGAAGTACTATTTAATGAAAATTATGGATACCATATTTGTAAATATATATCATTGTTGAGGGCGTGGAGGGATACTTTTGTTATGTCTTATGTCTCTGACATTTTTCTGTGTACAAAAGACATTAACTGATTCAGATAGAACGTGCCAAAATTAAGAATAGGCCATATCTTATGAGAATGCGACATTCTAAACTAGCTTATTATATGTAAGTAAACAAAAGTAAACTAACATTGTGAAGTGGGAGACAAAGATGCATGAATACGTAAGCTTGACATTAATTAGCTGAGTATAGAAGCATAAATTTTGTAAGGAATTTACCGCAGGGAGATTATAATATTTTCCAAAGATTATTTATTTCCCTTGTTTATGGTCCCCATTGTGTAGTTGGGAGAAGTGAAGCCAATTGATATGAGAGAGAAAACGAGTGACAGTGAGAGGCAGCGAGATTCTAAAACACCATACTTTGATTTTTTTCTTCTTCTTTTTTTTTTTTTTAAATTGAGAAAAACAGCAAAACTTTCATGTCTCATTGCCTCTGTACTTATGCCTGCTCTTTCAATTTCCGAATTTATGTCACCAAGGAACATCTTAATTTCAGAATTTATGCCATCAAGGAAAAGAATCCGAAGTAAATTAAAAATAATAAAAAAAGCTAAGAGTTTTTATAGAGTTGTTTTTTAGTAAATAGATGAGCAAGTTTCATTAAATATTTGTCATAAATAATAACTGTACCAAACCCTTTTGGTAGAAGAAAAGGAAAATAAAATGAAGAGAGGAAATTAAGAAACAATTGAACCATGGAAACAAACCCCAAAACCATGTAAGTTGCATCTGAACTTACTGCTGGTCCCTTCTCATGGATCCGATCCATTTTTATTTATTTTTTCTTGTTATTGTTGTCATGGATGTGGTCCGTGCTTGTAATTAATTATTATTACTGTGCTATGCTACACTACACAAAAATTGTCTCTTTCTCTTTCTATTGTGGAAAGCTAAGAGTGGAGGGGACGAACCTGATTTCTCGATAGCCCAGTCTGTCGTGCCAACAGATGCTTATCTGCATCGCTTGGATACCTGAGAAAGAGACCAGAAAATGACATCAGAGTCCTTGCCTTAACCGTATAAAGAGACACCCAGCTTTCTGTACCCTTAGCTGAGTATGAAACCTTTCTTTCTGTCCCTTCGTGGGCGTGAGAATCTAAGAGAAACAAAGAAAGATCTACGTCCTAGCTGCCATTGCAGAAGTAAAGTAGATCGCTGTACACACTGACCACTACTCTCTCTACTTTCTTTATCCCACTTACCTATCTTTATTGCATTACCTCTTTGCACTTGTTGGGATTATGTTCAAATCTTTTCTCGCTAAATGATATTAATTAAGTACACACCAACATAGAAAAATATATACATATAACATTAATTGATAGGATTTAATAAGAAGAATGAAATGAAAATAAACAATGAATGTCTACAACGAATGGCACACACAGACACAAAACTTATAGATGCTGTTTGTGAGAGTGAGAGAGAAATAGATGGGAAGAAATGAAATTCCAGTTAAAACAGTGACTGGCTACATACATGCATGCATCTATCTTTCCATCTTTACAGCTTTTGGCTGTCGAGCTTACATGCATCCCAAGGACTCTGCAGTATTAATGACTGTTGTAAACGATCCTATGCATAATGGCTTTTAGATTCCCTCTTTCGGTCTTTCCCTCTGCGACTCTTTTTTCCCTCTTTGTTAATTAACGGAAGCCCTGCTACTTTTTTCCTGTTATGGATCGCGGTATCTATCGTGTTGTGTGTTATGCTTTTTCATTTTAAAATTAAATCTCATTATGTCTCGCTGTCCCTCTCCTTCACAGTCTCGCAATCATTAACTGCCTTTTCTCCTCTCGTAAGTCTATCATACCACATTTTACCCCTAATTATATCCAAGTAAAAAATTAGAGCTCATCATCCTACCCATATAGGTTTTTCCCTCTAAAGATACTTTCTCACCTACACATTGAAAATATATCTTTTGAACAATAGAAATTAACTTTCTTTCATCTGATAACAATGCTATCTATCATACAAGTCTGAATCTTACCCTAAATCTACTTATTTAACACCATGATCAGGATTCACTTATTTTCCACAAGATTTCTAAATTACATTTTCCTCCTGTGAAATTTACAACTCTAGTTAAATAAATATAGGCAGCCAAACATGAAGATGCTCATGTCAATTTTAAGAATGACTTGTTTTATATATGTAGCTAATAATGAGAGAGAGAAAACGAAACAACGTACGGATGAAGGAAATGCTCGAAAAGCCAGGCTCTCAAAATGTTGACAGATCGTTCTGGCAACCCTCTCTGGGGTCTCCAAGCTTCCTGTTCCATCATCCCCATTTGATGAAACGCTCTTTGCTGTCTCAAACTTTGTTCAAGCAACTTGAGCCTTGGGGTCTCTCCTTTGGTCAACCCTGAGTTCCCTGCCCCATCTTTCTCTCCCAACATCTCACAACTATGCTTCAGTTGCGCTGTTATCGCATCCTTTAGACACCTGAAGTGACGAGACATTGCTTTCTGCGCAAGTGCTGTGTATGGCACCGCAGCACCAAAACCCATCACCATGTCAAACGAGTTCACCACCATGTGCATTTGCTCGCAGTAGTGGCTATATCTCCGATCCACCTGCAAAACCCCAAGAACCTTTTACAACGTCAAAAGATGATATTAATGAATGTTATGGCTATTAATTGTTACGATGCAATGTTGAAATAACTACCTGTAGCAGTACATGCATGTTCCATCTCATTACTCATATCATATTCATTGTGCGGTTCGTGAAAAGCTGGGTGAACTAACCAGCATTAATTAAGGAAAGAAATGGGTACATGTATGGTTTAATTAAGAATACGAAATATGGGAGTTAATTCACTCATGCAAATAGTGAAACAAAAAACACACGTGTGTGGAATATACACATATATAAGCCTTTTTTTCACTTAAAAATAAAAAAAAAAAAAAAAAGAGGCTAGGGAGTACTTGTTATGCACAGTACGGTCAATGCGAATGACGAATGTGCTTGGGTTTCTTTCCATGTTGAAAAAACAGTTATAGAAAAATCGAATTGGAAAAAGATAAGGAAAAGAAAAGAGTTTTCTCCCTCTCTCTCTCTATATATATATATCCCTACCGGGTCATCACAGATGTGAATAATGGCTTTCACTGCAATATTACTAAGATGGGTATGGATCTGAAGGGGCAGTGGCGTTTCTAGCAACTTGCTATGCAATAATATATATGATTGGTGATTGCCTTCCATCTGTTTGGTGAGTCTTAATAATCAGAAGAAACGTCGCTTCTTGATGGACGTATTCTCCTATAATGGTAGTGCCCCGGTTTCTCACTTTCACCAAACTATATATTTTTTTTCTTTTGTTAAAATAAAACCGAAAAGACTCTAAGATCTTCCCACCAATCGAATCGTGAGATTAAAAAATCGAGTAACGATTAAAATAAGGATGAAATCCTCACCAACTGATCCAAAGGAGTGGAACCCTACTATACCAGCCGGCTTTTCATTTGATTGAACTTTAGATACTCGCTGGAGAACTGTGTTTTATTATTGGACTAAGAAAATAATTAAATTTGAAGACCTTGACTCTAGAAGAATGAGAGAGGGTATGAAGAATCCAGAGAGAGAGAGAGAAAGATTACATGCCTCGTCAAGCATTGTTAGAAGTTTGACCTTTCTCCTTTGATGCTCAATCCTATCAGCTGCTGACAAAGGAGGGACATCCTTTGTTGAAGACGAGGAAGCACCGCCGCCGCCACCACTGCCTCCAAGATTGGAACTAGGGTTTGAAAGTTGCCTATTGAACTTGTTCTTCTTGAACTGGCCCCTCCCAACACTGCAAAACTCCTCAAGCAATTCCTGAGCAGCCTTGACATACTTTGAATTCCTCAACGCATTGACAACACCTAAGGATGATGTGGACGATGATGCTCCAAAGCCAACATGTGCCTGGTGGGTCTGTCCCAACAATGCTTGGTGGTGATGACCCCCAAGAGCACTCTTATAGGAAGAGGGTCCTCCACTTGGTTGATTGTAATACAAAAACCCACTATCCCCCATCCTGAGTTCCTCCGCTTTTGCAGCTTCTAAGGAGGAGGACAAAGACAAGGAAAGGCTTTGGCCGTGACCAGGGCCTTCCACTAGAGTACTGGGTCCTCCTCCATCTTGAGCAGTGTCGGGCAGCCACGTGAATTGACCAAAAGACCCTCCTGAGCCTGGAGGAAAAGTGGGAAGTAACATGTGGAGAGTGGAAGAAGGAGGAGGAGGGGGAGAAGGGGATCTGGTGGTTTGCGGGTTCATGAGAAAAAGCTGCATGGCAGCTGCAGAGTCTGGATTAATACTCGACATCTGATGGTGATGATGGTGGTTGTGGTGATGATGATGATGCTGATGCTGAATGCTGCTGCTGCTACTGTCACGGCTATTCACACTGCCATGATGATGATGATTCTTGGAATCTCCCAACGGTCCCAACCCAGTTAACATCCCTTGTCTGTTTCCGTACCACTCGCTGCCACCACTGCCCACTGCCCTCGCCGACCGAAACGTCGTCGTCATTGGTTGTTGTTGTTGCTGTGGCTGTTGTTGCTCCAACAATTCCGTGGCGGCGCCGGGAGGGAAAGTGAACATCTCCGACAACATGCCCGCGGTTTCGTACACCGGGAGGCTTCCCGATTCGTCTTCCTCTATGGGAACCAAAGTTTGTTGTGGCTCGAAGCCTTGAACTCTCACTTTGTCCCTCCGAATCTGCTGGTGCTGTGGCTGCTGTTGGTGAGGGTCTTGGTGACTCATCGTTGTAGCGGATCTCTCGAACCCATTCGGGAAGCTGAAGATTCCTTGGTGGTGGTGGTAATCTTGGGACATAGAATTCGAATGGTGTTGTTGGTGTGTCTTGGAGTGAGAGAGAATGGAAGGAAGCGAAGAAGATGGTGTTGCTATTCCCATGTTAAGATCTTGCTCATCATCATGGTCATCATCATCCTCTCTCTCGCCTTGTCACTAATCGAATTGATTGAGGATCGCGCCAGAATAAATGAATCTGAGTATGAAAACAAAAACAAACAACCACATCTGTAACCAAGGTCAATTATATACGAACAATAGAGATAATAAAATGGAAAGAGAAAAGAGAAGAAAAATGAGTTTATATAGGCTCCTCTCATGTTCTTCTCACCTAAATAGTAATTTTCATTTCATCATCACTTTCTCCTTTGCTCATCATCTCATGTATATATATAGATATACATATATATACACCTATATGTACCTCTTAGAAGTGAAGGGTATGAAAGGATGTGAAGCTCTCAGACATCGTTTTCCCTTCTGTGGTATTGAAAGCTTCTTCAATTCCTTCTCTCTCTCTATATCTACCTATCTGAGGCACACTCTCATACATATACATACACACCACACGCACTCTCTCTCTTTCTTTCTCTCTCTGTGTTGTCCCTCCGTGGTCTGTCGTCTCTTTCTTTCTCTTTCGCTCCTTTACTCTCTCTTTGTTGCTCGTCGCAGTGAGTGTTTTTGCAATCACCTTGTGGAAAATGAAAGATGGAAGTTGCACACAATATATAAAATTGAAAATGGAGGCTTGGGGGACTCACATATCTGTCTCAAATAAACGCAGTGTTTATGTTGTGTGAGAGAGGAAAGAGAAGCGGTCGCTGTTCTTCCTCTTCTTCGAACTTTCACCTCCTCCTTTAGTATTTTTCCCCTACCAATAATGTCTTTTTAAATTTTCTTTTATTCCATATCAAACAAAATTACATATGTGGTAATAAATGGCAAGAGAAACCAAAGATTCATCTTGTAAAATGACCAGAATGACCTTAAGTCTACACCAGTAGTATAGATATTGAAGCTAGCAAAGAAGGACACACAAGTTGATGGAATTACAAATCATAACCAACACATTTAAACCTCTAACTTCTGATATTTAACTGTATTCTATGTAATTTATAAATTTCACTGTTTTATACACACAAACCTCCAAATTATATCTTAAGAAACTCTTCTTCTTCTTTTTTGTCTAATTTTAATATTATTATATATTTTCCTTTAAACTGGGTTTGCAGTAATATGGAGACTATGATAAAGAATATTGGAATATTTTACTTGTGAATGAAAATAGTTTCCGAGAATTTAAGAAGTGGTTTTTTTGGATAGCATTTGAAATGTCCATAATGACATGACCAAGTGTTGGATTTTATTGTCATTTGAATACGTCCTTTGGAAACCAACGCAAACTACGGAATAAAATAAAGATAAGGTCAGTACAAAGTCATCTCAGTGATCCAAACTACCCTCAACTTTTTTATGAGTTGCAATGGCCATAATGCCCTAGAAAATGATTGGAGATGGGTGAAGAGGTGCATAGCGTGTGAGGGCATCGAAGGTATTTGAATTGGTACTAATTCATGAATTAATAGGGCAAGTGATGTAAGATAGGGAAAGAGAGAAGCGTTGATAAATGGAGAAGGGTAAATAAAGTGGATGGATGGCACGTGCCATTGGATGGGCAAAACAGACAAGTTAGGTTTAATTGTGTGGGAGACATAGTTTCTGAAAAGCACCCATAACCGCTTTAAGGTTTGGCGCTGTCACTCAGAGCCATGTTCATTATTTTCCCTTTTCATGAAGCCTTTCATTTTTACAGATGTTTTTTATGTTTCGCCTTCTCTTACTTGCATTTAATTGTCGTCTTAGGATGGTGTTAAGTGTTAACTTTAACCTCTAATAATCTTTCAACCTCTACTGAAAATGAATGCTAGACTAATTTTTTCATTATATATATGAAGCCTCATGAACACTTCATTTTTTAATGGAAACGTTATCAAATAAATATTTTTTTTTCATGGGTAAATGATTTGTAATGTATTTTTAGTATCAAAACTTTTACTTTTGAAAAATTTTCAAAATTTTAATTTTATGATGTATATTATTAATAAATTGATTAAATTATTCATATTCTCACTAATCACAATTAACCTAATCATCTGGAATTAGATAACAATTTCTCAATGTACAAAAATAAGAGCATACACTGAAAGAGAATATTTTAAAAATTTATTCTTCGTGTGAGAATGGGAACATATTTTAAAATTTTTCTTCAAAGAACATATCTTTAAGAATATTCCTTAACATTTTATTCATTTTCTATCTATGTTTTGCACTTTTATTTAAATTTTAAAATTTTAAAAACTATTAATAAATAAAACAATTTATATCATAATGTAATTTATATATTTAGTTTAATATTTATTTATTATAAATTTAGAATATATAAAATAAACATTTACTCTATACTTAAAACACTACTATATTTCACTATTAAAACTTTTTATTTCTAGGATGACTTTCTCTATAATTTTTTTAAAACACTAAAAATTCAGTTCATACTAACTTTTATAAGAAGTCTATAAAAAATTTTCACAAAATATGAACAATTTTAATAGTATTTAAAATTGAACATGTTTAAATTTTAGGTCTATCAATGAAAAACTTTGCAGTAGTGTGCGCACAGAACAAAATGTTTGCAGTAAAATAGTTTGAGAAAAGTTAAGATATGCAATCAATTAATTTTAGATAAATGAATCAGATATGATTTAATTTTCTACAAAATCATAAATTTTAATAAATTGTACCCACATATATCATCTAATTAGGGCATGTGAATATTGTATTACACATTCATGGGCATGCCCCCAATAAAAAATCATGTTTTCGTAATTTATTATAAAATTTTGGTAACTTCATTATTATTATTATTATTATTATTATTATTATTATTATTATTATTATTATTATTATTATTATTATTATTATTATTATTATTATTATGTATAAGCATGCATTAGAGTGTGTAAAAAGTGAAAGTTTGACTTTTTGCAAATTCTACATTCCTTTCAAAAAATTCAAAATGGTAAATAAACTAATTTTGGATAAACTAATGATTTTTCAAACTAATAATTAAAGTATTTTTGGCCAACCTAAATAAAAGAAATGTGTTGAGTCATCTTCCCATCTTTACATCATTTCAACCTACTCTTTACAATTATTTTCGATCTTGAATGTTCGATGATGAATGTATATATAATAGACGTATGATTGAGTTTTAGGATTTCTCTTCATTTTGTATGGAGGCTTAAAAGTTTAAATACTTTTTAAGAATTGTATATGATAATATATATAAAAGATAACATTTTGAAAAGTAAATGACTTTTAATATAAGATATTATACTTTTATTAAATTTAATTTTTTAACTTTTGTTTTTATATTTCTATTAAATACATGACTATATTTATTGTTATTAATTAATTTTATTATGATTAATAAATATAAAAAATAAAAAATCAATAGGATTATTAAATTAATTGTTTTTCTTATTCTTTATGATTTTACTTAATTGTTGAGGATGAAACAAACAACCAAACAAGAGGCAAAATTTTGTTTTTTATAATTTATTTAATATTACTCCAATAAGTTAAACCCCTTATTTTCCTCTCTCCAAAATTAATTGGATGAGAAGCAAATTATTACTTAACAAGTACTGAAAATATCTTTGCAATGTGATGTATAATTATTTTATATTTTCCTTGAAACACATCCCAAAGGAAATAATTACTGTCAATTTCCCATTAATAGATAGCAGTTTGGTGGCATATCTTGTGGTATTTCTCAATGTGGAGTATGTGTTCAATTGTTTGATGTTTTCCATCAATCCTAAAATTAGTCTAAGCTCACTTTTAATTTCACCAATTCTTGCTTAGCAAATATCTCCATTTCCCGTTTCCCCATGACAGGTGTAAGAGCGTTTCGAATAAAGTTTTAGATATAGTTTTATGGAGACATAAAGGAGTTTAGGCAAACATTACTTCAATTAATAATGGTGTTACTTACAAGATAATTATATTCAACAAAATGTTTTTGCAAAACTGAAATTAATAAACTATTACCGTAACTTTTAAATTATTTGTATCATTATTCTTATTTATTCATCCAAAAATATTATTATTTTTATTAAGTATTAAGAATTAACTCTTTAGATGCAAAAATTTTAGTTAAAGAAAATCGTTTTGTTAATTATAATAATGGATGCTATTAAGACTTGTGAATTATCTTCAATAATCTTTATTTTTTTAAATTACTTTAGTAATGACAAAAAATAAATGTAACTAAACAATTTAATTATTTCAAAAACCCATTTAAACAAATTTTAATTTTAAAATGTTGATTTTATTAATTTAAACTGTTTTGTTTTATTTGCTTTATAGGGATATCATATATATAATAATTTGGAGGAAATCTTAATTAGGCTGACTTTGCTTAAGCCTGGAGTGATTGATGATTCATATTTGCACGATGAGGATGATTAAGTTTTTGTCATGAAACATACTCTCACCCCAATACTTTCCTATGTTTATGAGACCATATACGTTAGGGAATTGATAAGAGAAAAAAAAAAGATAAATAATATTGATGTCACTATAAGAAAAAGGAGTTGAATAATCTGAATATTTATATGACGTATGTATGTATTTATTTATATAAGGGTGAGGGTTTTTATGTTTAAATCAATGATATCTAAAGTCATTGACGTTTACAAGCAACCTTAACGAAAGTGTAGAATTCAACAAAATACATAATAGCATAATAGCATGCCCTTCTTTGTACCATGGATATAGTATAAATATGTAAAAAAAAAAAAATCATTATGGTCCCTTCGGCGTTAACTATGGTTAGCTTGATGGAAGTTGATTTTATAATTAGAGAAGGTTTTGATGGGAAGAAGGGTTGAACAGTGAATAAAAAAATAGCATTAATGAGTGAGATTTGTTTGGTTCCTTGGATTGCAAGTAGGAATATAGAATACGAAAATGGGAGAAAGAAGGAAGTGTCTGGTGAGAAATGCAAGAAGGTAGAGGTAGCTATAGCTGGCTAAACCTATATACCTCTCAAACCTTAAGACTCCAAATTACTACTCATTACTCAAACACTCAATTGAGAGAGGGAAACAAAACACTTTGCTATTCTTTTTCAACTGAAAATCTGATGAACAAATTGACATCCCAACCTTCTTCCCCCCATTGCTCTCAGCTCAAAACTCCTCTTTCGGGTGACGTCACGTGAATCCCAACCTCTCTCCCACACGTACGCAATCGGGTCCCATTTCATCATTGCTTAAACCTAATTATCCTCCACGCACGTGTCTTTAGTTTATCATACATGTTGGTGCCACCGATTGAAGACTTGTTTTTGTTTATATATTTATTTATTGGATTTGGTTTCTTTTGGGAGTAAGGATTATTTTTTAAAGTGGTTCACGTTCTAGCTGCGAGTGCCGCACTGCTTTGGGAAAGTTTGAAGGAACAGGAGCCACCCCTTTGTCTTTGGTGGTTAAACTTTTTAAAGGCTCTAAAAGGGCACATAGCATAGCATTGGCTGTACCCTTTGCCTTTTTGGCAGCACTATGTGATTTTGTTTCAAGCAACAACCAAATCTCACCATCTCCATACCTTTCATGCATCTCAAACACACGCATACTCCTAAAGTATATTCAACCATAACATCAAGTACCTAAGTTGTTTTGCTTTACTTGTTTATTCATTTCTCTTTCTCTCTGTGTAGATAAATCCACCTGCATTCGACAACTATCTATCATTCAATTGGTACACCGCTGGTACCATTATCCTGTCCTACTTATTTAAAATATTCATCTACTTAGATTTGGGACCAAAACCTGTTCTTTCCTCAATTTCATCAACATTCTCATACCGCCGTCTTTCAATTTCACTACACAAGCATCAAGTTTATGTGTGCCTGCCTCCAACCACAATAACATTCCAATCCAAATTCATTCATTTAAAAACTAGGTGGTGTATCAATTCAAATGTGGAATGTTGATGGGATTGTTTCCGAATGATATACAGTAAAAAATATTTATTTATATCAGATACATAGCTTTCCATATCATGCACACATCGATATAACTTTATAATGAGATGATCAATTGATTGTAATTAATTAATGGGGAAGTTTGATAGCGGCTTATATTTATTTATATGATGTGTCCAACAGCCAGTGAGGTGCATCTTTCTGAGCCCACATTTTTCTTGTAAACTGAATGACGTGCACCACATTAACTTCCCAGAAATCCTGTTTGTATTCATCATTATTAACTTCGTTTGTTGACAAATTTCTTGTGTATCGTTGTTACACGTAGTACCAAATTTTGCCGCTTGTTCATTTCTTCTTCGCCCCATAATTCATTCTATTATTAAGTAATTGCTCATACTTTCCAAGCATATATATGAAAATTACGAGACCAGGATGATCAAGGCTAAGAGGAAAACCATACAGGAAAACAAGGATACTTCATTTAAAAGCATGCATATTTATATATAATGTTACATGAAAATTACTAGTTGTTTCTATGCAAGGAGAAATTTGTAGTTGGTATGATTTGTATTTACAACGATCAAAGTATTGTAATTTTTCTATTTTGACCCAACTCAATGTACGTTATACTCTTTCCTTCCTAAATAAGTGTCAATGTTTTTTATCATTTTTAAATTTCAAGTGCTAGCGTAAAATATGAATTTAATGACGGTTGTATTAACTATGGTTCTAACTGATGTCAGTTATATTAGTGTTTTGAATATATATATATATATATATATATATATATATATATATATATATATATATATATATATATATATATATATATATATATATATATAACCGTCTGGTCACAGTGGAGATTAAATATCCCTAGTGAAAAGTTTAAGTCTGTGAATGACATTGACGTGATAGATTCAGTGGAATCTTCAGCAAGGTTTCCTCTTGTTAATCATTAAATATGTTGAATTTAAAGTTCGCAAGGTTATACATATACATATATATATATATATATATATATATATATATATATATATATATATGCAGTATGAAAAATTCAACGATGGTTATTAAAATAGTTTATAATATATACATTTAATAGAAAATCTTCAATCGTAACATGCTTTTCTCCTTTTAATTATGTAGCGACAAAAGTAACTGGTCCAGAAACTGTATTCATCTCATGCGTAAATGTTTACATATATGATCCGAGCATGATAGTTTCTTTTAGAGCAGCAATACCCTTAAAACAATTTCTTATAATATTTATATTGATTATGTTTCTCCTTTTTTTTTTTTATCACATATTTCTCTCCTAATTTACAAACAATTTATTGCATAGAAGTGTTGTGTAAGTATGGGTCCTAAGACCTAGCAATGTAGGAAGTTGTACCGTCATGGTACGATAGAATCATGTTACTATAATTTACTGGCAAGACTTAGCTATTTGACATATAGAAACACCTAGACAGGTCCACATAACCTCAGCCTCACGATTAAGCACTCAACTCTCAATCATGCATGTGCATGGAGGATATTCTAGTTGCAATTAATTAATTATTGGAGCAACTCAAATATCTTCTACTGTGTTACCATAGAGTAGATGCCGAGTCTATCATATATCACTGCCTATACATACACTCCTCACCTTAATGTCTTTCCACATCAGAATATCTGATGCCACATGCTTTTCTACTACGTGTTCAGTTAATTTACAGTTTAGCTTCACCTTTTCTGAGGGCACTATCCACTGTAGAACTCAACTCCACTAATGATATCCTACCATGTGAAAATGGCGAAGAAGTTGGGTTGCGGTTGGTTTTGGAAGCAGCAAAAATGTGGGTAGGGTCAGAATCATCAAGATGCACCTTGACACTGTGCATGGATTTAATTAACAGTGATAGTGACTTGGTTATGACTTAAGAGCTTGCTAGTGTGGTGCTTGTCGTGGCATAATATATAAAAAGTTGGTGTGTATATGTTCGGGTTGTTTGCGACGTTGATGGTAGCTTATAGCTAGGTGTATATTTTACGAGGGGAAACAGTACGTTTACACTTTTGCTTCACGGAAAAGTTTGATTTTAGAATCTAATGATGGTTTTCTCTTCTTTCTTTTTCGTCTTCTATTGTTAAGTTGACTAAAATTATGAATAGAGTACATAACCATGGCTGATTATCCTTTTGTAACAGTACACACGATTCTGTCGCCTTTTTGTAAAAGCGTGATTATTGCATGTGCTATTTAAGGCAATGCATTTGAGCCAAGATCAATTAATCATGCGTGATAACAAAACAAGATAAGGCCAAATACAACATGCGTGCAATCATTTTTTTATTACACATTCATTCTCTTCAGTTTGTCCTACCTTTTTCTCCCTCCTAAATAAAAATCATGCTTGATTGGATTCTGATCTCTCCGACAATTAAACGAATTGTCCTTTCTATGTACAGTGTCACTGTTTTGGGAAAAATTTGTCTGTCAGCTGTTCTATAATAGCAACTTGAAAGGATGGATGATGACTAGCAGTAGGGCCGAAGATATTGTTTTCAGATCAAGAATCACAAATATAATTTATTTTTTGTCTAGATTTAATATGATTATTAGTATGATGAACTTTGGTCCTAGTTTGTAAAATCAAACTCTTTCTGGGGAGTTTTATCCTTTATGAAATTTTGAAAGTTTTTAAATGGTCTTTGTTTTTCTCATCAACAAATGCCAAGGCACATATTAGATGTGGTCTGTAAAAAACAGTTATCATCATTTTGACCAACACTGGCTTTATTTTATATCTGCAATATAGAAGCATATTTGGACTTCAGAATAAGTATTTTTAAAAACATATATAACTTGATTTAGTATTTGATTTTATTCTATCTTTATGGTAATTTGAAAATCATAAAAAAAAAATGTCGACATTTTCATATGCGAGATAGTACTTTAAATATAGTACTTTTGTGTTGTATTATAACAATACACCGTCATGTTTAAATGTTCATTTCGTCCATATTTTTTCATCATCTACTACATGCGAAATTTTCAACCATAACACTTATTGGTATTAGTATTATATAAGATCTTTATGAAAAAAATAATGATACATGTAAGTATAAGTTTGGCTCATATAAATGATGAAATTCAATTTTTTTATTATAATAATAATATTTTTGAATTTTTTGAATTATTATAAAAAGATTTCATAGTTCGTACTCTAATTTACTTGGAAACATAGTTTTTTTTATAGGTTATTTTTTTACTACTAAAAAGTTAGTTATTTTTCTTATAAAAATTATTTAAATTTGTAAGAAATTTATTTCTTGTCATTTTTTATAAAAATTTTATAAAAATATTATCATGAAATATAAAAATTTCTAATAGTGTTTATTGCAAAATATAAGTGAAAAAAATAAAGTAATCATAAATAACAAAAACATATTGAAAGTTGTTATATTTTTTTATTAAATTATTATTTTAACTATATTTTAAGAGGTGATATTTTTTTATTAAATCTTGACAATATGATATAAATGTTTATATATTTATACACATAAATATATATGAACATTATAAGTTTATATTGTTTCCAAATAAAAAATAATTATTAAAATTAATAAGAAATTTTTTTTTAAGTGGATGATTTATGATGATATGTCTTTCAACTTGATGTATTTATCTATTTAGGTTGATATTTTTAATTGTATACAAATAAAGAAGTGAGAACAAATATATATATATATATATATATATAATATGTAAAATAATATAATCTCAACAAATATATAAAATAATCTTTTCAACTTCAACATATTCTATTTATTTTATATTATGAAAATTTAATTTTTTTTAGTGGATAGTCAAGATAAATTAATCAAAATTAACCACTCTTTAAGTATATTACCTCATTTCAATCCCAAAATTCAATCTTCATCTACACTATCATTCAATCTTCATAAATAAAATAACATTCTTTAAGTAAATTTAAAATAATTAATTAATATAAATATAAATTAATAAATAAGGATAAGTGCGTAATTGGATCTAAATAAATAAATATAAAAGGATCAGAGTATAAATGGAGATAAATAAATATAAAAGAGGATCAGTGTGTAATCGAAGACAAATAAAATATGATCAGTAAATATATATATATATATATATATATATATATATATATATATATATATATATATATATAAAAGAGGACTAGTGTGTAAATAAAAATAAATAAAATAGTATCAATACGTAATTGGAGATAAATATAAAAGAGGACTGATATATAATTGAAGATAAATAAGGCATGACCAGTACATAACCGAAAATAAATAAATAAAATGAGGTTAGAGACACTTCACTCAACAATCATAATTAAAAATAAAATAAATATAAGATAAACTTTTTCTTCCCCTACCTTAATAATCGTTCTTGAACAATCAAATTTAAAATGTGTGTACAACAATGCACGTGAAATAATTCACCATCACATATCAACCAATTTTGTAAAACAAGTTGATTTTTCAATGTCTTTTGCAAAACATCATTTACTAGAAGCATTATCCAAAGTAATAGAAAAAAATATTTTTCTCTATTCTCCAATCATGCAAAAAATCATTTATCTTTTTAGACAACTCAAATCCAAAATGAGGTGGAGCTAAATGACAAAAGTTAAGAATCTTGTCGCTTAACTTCGAATTTAAATCAACCTAATGAATTATAAAACTTATATAACTTTTAGTAATACAAGATGTCCATAAATCAAAAGTTAAATAAATTATACTACAAATGGTAGCCAACTCTTCTTTAAGTGTTGTTAAGGTTCCAAGATTTCCAACACACTCCCTCAAACGAAGTCTGCCGGTCCAGGCAAAGGGTATTTTTGACCCACAACAAATGGACAACTTTTTGGCCTAAAACAACAACCGAAAAGAAGTTAGACTTTAATTCTGGTACCATGTTAAGATTTCAAAATAAAACCAATTGACAATATGTGGAGTAGCTTAACAGGTATTTAAATCATACCAAATGATATAAGACAGATAATATGAGATTTTCAACAAGTATATTCTTTTCTTTCGTAAATATTCTCAATATATTGTTCTTAGCAGTATTCCTAGAAACTAATATTGCATTAGGATTCAAATAATTTATCCAAGTCCTAAGTTTTGGATACTCAACAAATTTAAAAGGGAAATCATGTTTCCTTCAACTTCCCTTGCATGTCTAAAATCATTTGACCCACATATTCAGTTTTGATTTTGTCACATTTTTCAATATGACGCTTGAAGTGAAAAGTTCCATATTTTTTACTACCAATTACATATTTTTGTGTTATAACCATTACACACAGTACTTTCTTTTCCATCCCTACACACACCAATCTTAGTAAAAAACTTCCAACAATCAGATGTGTTAGATTTATCCATTTGTATATATGATTTAACACTTTCAGATTCATTTTTATTTCAATATGTTGAAACTTAATATCATTCTCAATTCCATTTTTATTGACGACATCATCAAGACCACAAGTAGGTTTTCTAATTGAATCATCCATTTCTTGTTTAAAATTTTAAAAAAAATCATAATTTTTTGTTACTAAAAAATTTTAACAAAAAATACAAATAGAAAAACATATGAGTCGTGAGAAAGAAAAATACTAAGAGAAAAAATGAAACCTTAAGAAAGTAACAAATATAAAAGGAAGAAAAAAATTATGAAATATATATGATTTTTACCTTACAGGAAGATGAAGAAAAATTAGCAAGAAGGCGATAATGAGTAAAAAGAGAGAAAAGAGGAGATTTCTACTTGAGAAAGGAAATTGTTTCCTGTAATGAGTAAGTGAGAATGCTACTTTTTGAATTCTCTTGGTAGTGAGACACTAAGACTTTCCGAATATTCTTAGTGAGACAATGAGACTTTTAAAATTATCTTTTCATAAATTTTTATATTATATGTTACCTTTATAACTCACCATATCACAATAAAAAAATATATTAGTAAAGTGGGTTACGGACTGACAGACTTGGTGGAGTGAACCATAACGAGTTGGCAGACTGCTAACATATCCCACCAGAGTTAACCTGTTTTATCATCTCTATATTTTTTTTTGTTTCTATTTCTTCTCTTTTTCTTCTCTTTTCCCCATAACCCCTATTTATAACCATGATTATATTTTTATTTTATTTTTAACTTACATTTAATGAAATAGATAAATACAAATTTTAGTTTTTAATTTTTACTTTTTTTTCTTATGTTTATCTATTGAAAAAGATAAATATTTTTTATCTTTTTTATAATTATATTATTTAATTATTTATTTTTTCTATAATAATTTAAATATTATTTATTTAATTAATAATATTAGATTCGGTCAACTCGGAATGTATATTATCGATATAGGGGATATTTTAATTAAGCGGATTCATCGACTCGAGATAAGAGAAAGAAAGGTCTATTTTTTTTTTTGTTATTCAGTTAAACCAATGATTTCGTTATTGGAGCATATAACAATAACTATCTTATCTGAGAAAAACCAACTTTTTCTCAACAATGTCTTTGTCATTTGATCCAATAGCGCTTCATTAGATAGAAATAGATTTGATAAATTTTGGTAACTCTCAAATAGAGTATTAGAACAAAAAATCCTTTAGATGATGAATTATTGATTCTAAGTCATTTCTGATAATGAATCAACAATTCAAAATGTTTTTCTTGCGTATTCTTGATAAACCAGTGTTTATATATAAATGTAGGAAGGTTTGTTTGGGAAGTAAGAAGTTTCCTTGACTCATATTAAATAGATATCATATTCATGGAATACGATTCACTTTCAAGATACCTTGGTGGTAAAATGGTAGAGACGCAAGACTCAAACTCTTATGCTAA